CACTTCACTGGTGGAAAGTAGAGAGAAGGCAGCATTAATGAGGGAGGACACAGTGGCTTAGATGAACAGTTTCTCTTACTTGGGAAAGAGTGTGGGAAGGGGTGAGGGAAGAGCTGGGAAGGAATTATAGCTGGGGTAGGTGAGAAGTCTAAAGAACAAAAGAGAGCAACAGGTGGAGATGTATCTGGAGGTTACCATGGACCTTACTACTGAGCCCAAGAGGTGGCTGTCAACAAGAGGCCAGATGGACATAGAAAGGTCACGGATGCCAATCACTTGTGCAGAGAAGCTCTTTGAAGACTGCTGCAGTGGGAGACACTACAGACAAGTTCTACACACGTGGAGAGTGAGGCATAAGGTTACAGTGACAAACAGGGCAGGTTTGGCACCTTGTAGAGTAAAAGACCAGGGAGGCTGAGGTGGGAAGAAAGAAATGGGAAGCAGACAAGCTCTAATAGACGGGATGGGTATCTTTTTCATCACTTTCTCTCTCTCAGAAGCAGCACCTCTGTATTCCCACCTCTGACCTTCCACAGAGGAGCCAAGACTTGAAAGCAGTGCCGTAGTTTCCTCATGCTGGGGCATGGGCTGTGGGTGCCCTGTCTCTGACTCCTGAGGAAATCCAGGATGACTCACCATCCCAGCTCTTCCTCTGACAGGGCCCAGCACTTAGCACAACGTGTCCACTGCAAGCAGGAGGCATAAACACGAGGACGGGAAGAAGCACGACTGCCTCCCTCCTCTCAGTGGTGACTCGGTGCCTACGGGGTGGGAGCCCAGCCCTGCTGTGGCCTCCATACCAGGAGGCACAGGGTCAGGCCTGATGAGCCAACATCCTCCAGGTGTTTTCCTAAAAACAGCCCGAAACACCAAAGGAGGTCTCGTGACAGGTACAACCCCCTGCCCGCAGGGAGCTGGGCAGAGAGCCAGAGCAGAGAGGGGAGGAGGCCCAGAATGAAGGGAATGAGCCAGCGTGTCAGGTGGGAAGCCGAGGTGAATGTGCACACATCCTGGCCCAGGGGTTCCTTCCCATGGACGAGCTGCCCCGCGCCAGCTCTGGCCACGGCGCCCACCAGGTCCCACGACTAAGGGCCTGGGCAGAAAGAGGGGTTGGAAGCAAAACCTTCAGGATTCTGAACCCTCACTCAGCCAAGCGCTGAGAGAAGACGCGGGAGGCACATCCCATAATTCTGGTACAACACCCACCCCTGGCTCCCCTGAGGCTACAGAGGTAAAATAAGAAGGAAACAAAGACCTCAGGGCAGGCACAAAAAGAATTTACCCTCCAGAATTGGTGGGATTTGCTCGGAATGTCAGGATGCTTGCTTGGGAACTCTGGAGCTCACCCCTGAACCCCTGAGGTATCATCTCCTCATGGTAAATGCCTCTGGCTTCCTGGGCTCTGCAGAGGCACCTCAGGAGTCTATGCAGGGAATTTCAGGCAGCTACCCCCGGAGTGAGGAGCGCCCCTTCTCCCCAAGTCACTCATCTTGTTAAACGCTGAGTCCTAAAGGCCAGGGACCAGGTGCCTCATGAGTGCACCTGTGGGCCACAGCCCCAGGGGGAGGGGAGTGAGTTCAGATGAGCTCAGGGGCGAGTCCTATGGGACCTGCTTCCTGCACTGGGTGACAGGGGGCTGGGTCCCTGAGCGCCACCAGTCACACAAAGTCCGTGTTCCATCTGGGCTCTGGAGCCATGACGCAGGCCTGGGCTGTCACAGCCTGAGGACGAGAAAGGGTTCTGTGTCCTCTGCAGGGGGAGGAAGAGGAAGCAAACCTTGAGCCTGGGTGGGGGCATAGGGAGTGACACACTGCAGGCACCGAAGGTGCAAGTCCTTCCCTGACAGGCCCGGCTAGGCTTGCAGGACTGGCCGTTCCCTCCCCAGAGACCTGAACGCTGAGGCCAGGACCCTGAACACTGGATCTGGTGAGAGCCTGGGGGGGGTGCCTGGGAAGGGACCAGAGGGAGAGCTCTCTTTCCAGGAGGAGGGGTGGGTGCTGCCAACTTCCCCCCTTCCCCACCTCGTCCCTCTTCTCCACTTCAGCTTCTCTGGGTCCACAGCCAGGCAAGAGACACATTGGGGACTTTCCAGAGCGTATGCTTCCCAAGGCCAAGTCCACTACAGAGGCCACAGGGGCAGGCAGCTGCACCCATGGGAATCCAGACAGCGGGAAAGGAAGCCATTCCTTGCAGTAAACAGTGCAGGCATCTGGGGTGCATCAGGCAAAGGGGCAGGGAAAGGGAGAGACCAGAGCACACTCGCGTACTCGGTCACAGACAAGTGGACACACACCCAGTCACACAGACTCATAAACAGAAAGACACAAATTCGGTGATGCCACTCAGAACCCAACTCAGAGACACATCCGGGAGTCATACCTACACACCCGGGGACACCCCCAGTCAGACTTGCTCCAGCAGACACGGGCACCAACACAGCAGACACAAGACAAGCTCGCAGACACACACACACAGCCCGTCTCGCAGACCCACACACAAATGCAGTGCGGATGTCTCCTTCAAAGCCCCTCTCTTCCCTACCACCTCCTAGGCACCCCCAGGACAGGCCTGGCCCCTCGCCCTCTAAGCTCTGCTGTGGCATTTCTGTGCCGTTGCTTGTCCTTTACTCCCAATCTCTGTCCCAATTGCTTGGCCTTTTGTCCTGGCCTCAAAAGCTTGGCTTGTGCTTTTAAGACAATGACAAGGACAGCAAGGGATTCCACTGCCCTCTTCAGCAGCCCCATCCTTCACCTACACACCCATCCCATAAGTATCCCCAGTTTCTTGCAAGGTCCTACCTCCAGCCTCTTTGATGCAGAAGACACAGACTCTAAGGGAAGAGAAAGCCAGACAGACACACCCTGTCAAAGGAACGCTTGTGGGTGTTACCCAGAAATTCTTCACATGACCCTATGCTCACCACTACCAACCTCCAATTATAGGCTGGGGCCATCACAGCGTGAGGACAAGGATGGCTCCTGTGTCTGCTGCAGGGAGAGGAAAGAAGGGAGCACAACCTTGAATTAAGGTGGTGATATGAAGAAGGAGCACAGTGCAGGCCTGGAAGACACTGATGAACACACCCTGTCAGCAGACTGAGACCAGGGAGCAGACTGACCGTCCACCCGATCTCTGGCCACCCCTGAAACTGACAAGAAAGGGTTCTGTGTCCACTGCAGGGGAGGAAGAGGAAGCAGACCTTGAGCCTTGGTGGGGCATAAGGAGTGAACACACTGCAGGCACAGAAGGTGCATCTACACGCAGCACAGAAATACCAATAACCTCCGCAGGCCTGTGGCAGCTGCATTCCCAGGAACCCAGTAGCTCTTTCAGTAAAAGCTGCAGTCATCAGGGCAGCTTGGCCCCAGTGGGGTCGGGTGGGGGGTCTTCCAATCCTCAGCTGGGAACCCAGGAACACCAGGACACCCAGGCCCTTTGACCCTTGTTAGATGTACGAGCCTACAGGGGCCTGGCCCACCTCAAGCCCTGTTCCGGGACTAGCTCAACCTCTGAGCTGAAATTCCTGCCATAACCCTCTCCAGCTCTGCCTGCCAAGCTGGGAGCATCTGTTGCCCTGGAACCCCCACCAGGCGGGAGCAAATGGGCCTGGGGCTGAAGGGCATGTGGCTACTTCCCAGAGTGGGAATTTCCAGCCCCTTGCAACACCCACACCTAAGACCTTTACTCCACAGGCTGGTCCCAATGCTTGTCCTCAACAAGTTTGGGCCTGCTGCCACTGAGGGTGAGCCGGGTCAACGGGCACACCAGCTTCAGGGTCTCCGCAGAGGTAACAGTGAGATGAGCTAAGCTATGTGTAGCCTGCTTACCTCTCACCCCTCACCCCAGGCACCAGGACCTCCAAGTAACAGCCTCTGCCTTCAGCCACCCCAGAGACTGTCAGACACTGCCTAGGCCCTCTCAGGAGCTCCTCAAGCAACAACCTTCAGCCACTGGACTAGAAATATTGAGAGAACACTCACATCCCACAGCTGTAGTCATCAAGTCTCTGTCCCCTTCCCAATGGCTACATCCTTTTTTGCTGAGGGCCAATAAAGGAGGTTAATTCAGGGTTGCTAGCTCCAGGTGATGCACCTGAGAAATTAACAAAATTAGCTTTAACTTACAGAAAAACAAGTGGAAGTGATTTCAAAAACTGCAGATTCTGGAATTTTACTCTACTTGCCAGTTAAGCTACTATTCTGTTGCTGTTTTATGAATGCTGTGGCCAATATAAAGGTCTCATTACTCACAACACTGCCATAGCAAGAGCTATGAAAGCAAGTGTCATCTTTGTCCAGAGTGGGGGGTGTTACCGTATTTATCAAAGTTGCTGACCACAAATACAATCCTGACAAATGACCCGGAAAACATTCGGGGCCTTGCATTCTTGGCATAACATTAAGTATATTCAGGAATGCTAAAGCACGTAGTGGGTTGACTCTCCCAAGAGACAGATACAAATGGCTAGTGAGAAAAATTAAATGGCTTTCCCTGTGCTAGAAGAAGTCCTAGGAGAGAGACTCAGGTTAAAAAAAAGAAAATCAATTAACAAGGATCTCACAAATGATGCCTAGTGATTACGTCTTAGGTGGTAAGTGGAGTTTTCTCTTTTCCTCACAAAGGAAGGAGAAATAGAAGATATTATCACAGGAATAATGTGAATGTTGAAGAATCTGCGGTAATTTGAGGGGGGAACAGAGGCAGTTGGTGTAACAGTGGGACAAGAAGTAGGTAGGCCCATTTGACTGAATGACATCAAAGAAAGAACAGATGAGCAACTAAACCTTTCTTTGGTACAATTCGTAGACACAGTCTCTCCGGTGGCATGTCTGATTATTCCCACCCACCTGCTGGTGTTCATGCTTCATGCAATCCCAGCCTCTTGAAAGTGAGCAGAACTGTTCTAATAACCTTGTTCTAATAACCAGAACAAGGCAAAAGTGCTATGTCACTCCTGTGCTTATATTACATGATATAAAACTTTATTCTAGCATACTTACTCTAGCGCCGTCTCTGGTTTGGTGAACTGGTCATGTGGCAAAGACCGGGAAGCGACCTCTAGGAATAGTGGGTGACCTTCAGATGCTGGGGGTGGCTTCCAGTTGACAGCCAGTAAAAAGCCAGAACCCTCGGTACTACAACAGCAAAGAAAACCTGAGTGAGCTTGGGAGATTCATCCTGTCAAACTTCCAGATGAGAATGCAGCCCAATCAATACTTTGATTGCAGTTCTTTGAGACCATAAGCAGAGGACCAAGCTGGATTCCTGACCCATATAGACTGAGATAAAGAATTATGTGTTGGACCTCCCTGGTGGCGCAGCAGTTGCGTGCTGGGTTGTGAAGCTGCCAGCAGCCTCTGCGGCGCCGGTTCAATCCCCGGCTGCTTCCCGGCCACCAGAGGTCCGCTGCTCCCCTCAGCAGTGTACTTTGGTCTTTCTGCCTGCTCTGCTCCCCGCTCTGGCTCTGGTGAATTCTCTCACCCTCCCGCACGTCTGACTGTACCCAGTGCTTGTATAATAAATCTTTTTTTTAAAAAAAAAAAAGAATTATGTGTTGTCTTAAACTGCCACATTTGTTGTCGTTTGTTACACAATGGTAGAAAATGAAATGAAGGTAAGAAGTGTTTGTCAGGAAATAAGGCATATGTGGGTAACATGGAAGCTGTGTATACGCAAGACACACTCATTTTCTGTGTAGCAACTGCATAAAGTGCTGTGGGATTGCTTACAAGGGCAAGTGAAACAGAAAAAAGAGGAGGTTCTTGCACAGTATGAGCTAGGGAAGAAAGAGAGAATGAGAAGGTATTTAGAGAACTCCTCCCACATAACTCATTCTGTAAAGATACATAGCAGCTGTGGAGCGTCTACAACTCTACTAGTAGACTGAAATCACTTCATCCTGCATGTTAAGTCGTTTGATTCTTGATATGGGAATGGCAGAGGTGTGTAAAAGACTCAAAACTGTAACTCACAGAGATCTCATAGAACACGGGGAGAAAGGGTCACCTGGGCAGTAATAAAGCAAAATAACCCTCTGAAAAGAGAAAGGGGAAGCAGCGAAAATCAGTGGCTTTCACAGGTGACAAATGAGCTCCATATTGTCTTTGCATTCAAAAAGGAAGATCAAGAGAGTTCTCACTGCTTACACAGAGCAAGTGCCCCTAAAAATCTTCCTTGAATACTGAAAAACGGTAGAGGAAAGCAAAGAATGTATTTGAGATCACAGTGTCTCTAGTTTAAAGTGGGCCAGAGGGGGCTGAGAAGACTCATTTGTCAGAACTCATTTCAAGAAACTTTGTGGTCACAAGTTCACCATATATGCTGTGATTCCTCAAGGGGTGATGGTTCATAGATGTGGTTGTGGGATATTTTTATGGGGACTACACCTGAGGGGAGAAACCAAATACTGTAAAAATATGAACAACAGGGCCTCCCCGGTGGCACAGAGGCTTGAGCGCCGCGCTGTGAAGCTGTCCGCAGCCTCTGCAGCTCAGGTTCGATTCCCAGCCAGCCAGGGAGATTCCCACATGGCGTGGCAGACCCCTCCTGTTGAACCCGCTGCTCCCCTCAGTGGTGTATTTCGGTCAGTCTGCCTGTTCTGCTCCCTGCTCTGTCTCTGGTGAATCCTCTCACCCTCCTGCACCTCTGGTCTGTACCCCAGCGCTTGTATAAAAATATATATATATATGAACAATGTAAAATTTTTAAATTAATTAAAAAAATACACTATGCTTCCTCAGAGTCAGAGCCATGGCTAACTAGGATAATAGGTACCAATACAATAGAAATGGTTGATTTCTCTGTTCATAGGAGAGAGCTACTAAATTTGGGATTTTAGCCAATTTCCATATCACATGACATTTCTTTTGGATATATACCTAGGAGTAGAATTGCTAGATCATATGGAAATTCTTTTTAACTTTTACAGAAACCATGAAACATTTTCTATAGCAACTGTACCATTTTACATTTCCACCAACAAGGTACCAGAGTTCCAATTTCCCCACATCTTCACACGTCATTTTCCATTTTTGTAGAACAACCATCTGTGAGTGTGAACTAATATCTCATTGGGGTTTTGATTTGCATTTCCCTGATGACTAATAATTTAGCATCTTTCCATGTACTTGTTGACCATTTACATATCTTCTTTGAAGAAATGTCTATTCATGTCTTTCCTCATTTGCAAGTTGGGTTGTTTGTTTTTCTGTGATTGAGTTGGAGGAATTCTTCATTTGTACCAGTTCTCAACGCCTTACATACGATTTGCAAATATTTTCTTCCATTTCCTAGGTTGGCTTTTCACTCTTAATAGTGTCCTTTGATGTACAAAAGCTTTAAACTTTTATGAAGTTCAATTTTCCTACTTTTTCTTTTGTTGTCTGTGCTTTTGGTGAATTCTTAAGAAACATTGCCAAATCCAAAGATTTGGCATTTTCCCATGAAGATTTTCCCATTTTCTTCTAAAAGTTTCATAGTTTCAGCTCTTAAACTCAGGTAAGCATTCTTGTCTCTGCTTTTCTTTGATAGTTCTTCACAAAAAATCTGAAAAACAGATTTTATGACTCCAACCTTTGTAACCATTTTCAAACTGCTAATCTGCATTTCAATTTAATTAACATGCAGAGGATAGATTATTTTGTTGCTTGATATGCATATAGGCCTATTACTATGACAGTTTTGAGAAAAGAAGTAAGATTTATTACAAATCAATTGGCAAGAAGGCAGGAGAAAAACTCAAATCTGCCTCCCTGTTTAAGAAAGGGACTGAGGTTGCACAGGTTTTGGGGACTGAGGTTGAGAATAAAGGAGTTAAGTTTTATTGGCTAAAAATGTGAGCTGGGGGCAAAGGAATGTGGATTTAGCTGAAGTTCATTAGCTAATTACAGGGCAGTCCATATACAAAAGCATGAAGAGGCTTTTTCATATAACTGGAGCTTAGAATTTCTGTAGGTGGGCCCCTTGCTTCTGAGCAGCCCCTTGTCCCTGTATCTGTGGTTCCTTCGCTTCAGAGGGCTTGAGATGCAGCTCAAGGTCAATCACTTCTGCACATGCTCAGGTTGTATCGTTTGTAGATAAGCTGCGTCTGTGTAAACAAACTTCAAAAAGAAAATCAGATTTATTTTTCCTTTTGTGCCCTAGGATCTAAGAGCAATTTAGCCATTGAACCTCAGTTTCAGGAGGCTGTTACCAGTTACATGTTTAAACATAGTATAGTGCCTAGCATAGTGATGCTCTGCAATCCTACACATTCATCCTTCATTCAAAGGACTTTCTCTTTCAGGATCTGCCAGCAGCAATTATTGCACCTTATGTGCTTCCTTCTGGATAGTCACGCACAGAGCCCCAAATTTCCAAGTGTCTATGCGTCTGAGGCCTCGCTGTCTTCTGCCCTCCCTGTCTTATCCCTGTGCTCTTACAGAAGAAGGCCCTGCCGCCACTAAAATCCAGCTTGTAATTCACTAGGCTACTAATAAAAAGAAAAATCCTAAGATGTGAGTGTGGTGGAGGTGGGCGGAGTGGGTGGAGGTGGAAGGTGGTGAGGGAGCGGGTATTAAGTGGGATGGGCAAAGGCAGCCTGCCCCTCCACTTCGTTGGAAGGACACACGTAGGGTACACTGAGCCCTAAAGGGGGTCAAGGCCAAAATGTTTTGGATGCAGGGAAGTTACTATGGCAGGATCCTCTCCCCGTAGAGGTTCCTTCCAGGCAGTTCTGGGGCACGCTCAGGCCCTTCTTCAGATAGGGGTCCTCTGTGGGGAGTTCATCCCCGCTGCGCAGGTTCCTCAGGCTCCCGCGCGTTCCCCAGTGCGCTCCCGCTGAGGGACTCCGGAGCCCACAGTCACAGACGGCCTCTCCGCGGACCCGCCACACAGGGTCTCCCCGCGGCAGCAAACGCAGCGTCGCGGGCGTCTCCGCCGACAGGCAGCCCCGGGGGCGGCGCCCACACACCGCCTCAGCGCCCCCGGCGGGGAGTCGCGGCCCGCAGACCCGCCCCCGAGGGCCCCGCCGCCCCCGCCCCGCCCGCCCCGCTTACCGGGACCGTGGGGACGCGGGTCCGGGGCTGGGGGTCTACACCGCGGGCCCCGCCGGCCTGGTGGCGCGGGCGCGGGCCGGGCGCCGGGAGCGGGCGGCGCGGGCGGCGCGGCGGGCTGAGGCGGCGGCGCGCCCCGAGCGCCCTCCCCGCGCGGCCCCGCGCGTGCGCCCGCCGGGACGACCTCGCGGGTGGGGGCGCCCGCCCCGCCCCCTCCCTCCCGGGCGCGGCCTCGCGGCGCTGCCGGCGACCGCGCGGGGGGCCGGGGCGCGCGGCGCGGAGGACGGGGCCCCCGGGGGCGCGGCGCGCCGGGTGCGGACGGGCCGCCGGCCGGGGCGCGGGGCGCGGGGCGCCCCCGACAGGCACCGGCTCTGCGGCGCGGGGACGGCGCCCGCCCGGCCGCCCGCGGCGAGCAAGGTCGGGGCCCCCTGGAGGAGGCGACCCGGGAGGGGGCGCCGCGGGGGCGCGTCCGCTCCGGCTCCCGCCCGCCGGCACCTGCCTGGGGAGGGGGCGCGAGGACTCTCCCCGCGCCGGGCTGGGGCCCCTCGCCCACCCCGCCCTGCCGGCCGCTCGGGCCTCGGGGCCGCAGCCCCAGCGCTGTGCCTCACCTTCGTCGGCACCCCGGGCCTCGCGAGCGCCCAGACGGCCCAACTCTTCTGTCCACTGTTTTCTGACTATTGTTCTTCCATCTGCAACTGCACAGCTGTACCCCGATGTAGCCTACTTGTTGCCGCAGCAGCCTTTTCCCTCATACTCTACAGTTAGCAGTTCTGAGGCCTGTAACGTGCCTTACACCAAGATACTTTGAAGAAAATGAGGGTACCAAAAAGGATATCAGAGGTCAGAAGCCCCTAACCGCTGAATATAAAGCAATAACTGAAGAGATACAAATGTACGCTGAGAATATTTTTATTTAAATCATTTTAAAATATTTTTATATTTTATTGACATTTTTAAGATAACCCATGTTTCCAAATTAGTAGAATAGCTATATCACAAATACAATTCATTTCCCCAATGGGGGTACAAAGAGGAATTCATTTTCTCCTTAACATCATGAAACTTAACATTAGAGAAAATAAGTGCTGCAGTACTATATATTG